GTTGCCCATGTTTATAGAAGACTCTGTTATAAGTTAGTTTTACTTTTGGGTTGATTAATTTTATAGATAAATGAATGATTTTGATTGCATCAAAAAAGTAAATGAATTTGATTGCATAAAAAAAGTAAATGAATGATTTTGAAAAGGAAAAAAAAAAGTTTATTAGCTAGAAAAATACCTCTAAAAAATACTTCACTTTAGTATAGGTATTTAGATTTAATTTTTAAGAAAAAATTGTGTATCACGACTTACCTTTTTGTTGATAATTGTAGGCTATAATTGTAATTTTTTTTTGAAAGGAAAAAAAAATGAAAAATGAAAATTTTGTGTATCACGACTTACCTTTTTGTTGATAATTGTAGGCTATAAAGTAATAAGGGCATATTGAAAATTTAAGGTGGACACCACTTCTTTCTCTTTACTTGGAAAAATTTGCCAATTGCAGTCATTTAAAGTTTGTATTTTGCATATTTCAGCCATTCAAAAGAAAAAAATGCAAATTACAACCCAAAAAGTACTAATAAATTGTAAATTGCAACTCAATTCAATTATTTCATCGATTTATGTGTTGAAAAAATTCCATAAAGGTTTTAGGGCCATTTTAGTTCTTAAGGAACCAAAATGAACTCGGAAGTGGCAAAAAAATAATGTAAGAGACTTTTTCACGACAAATCCCTAACCACGACCCGAACCTTACTCGAAGTTACTAAGAGAAACTGATCAAACCAAACCCGAACAACTCGAATTCGCCCCGGATTTGACCCAAATTTCATATTTCGTAATAATATTAAGTTTTTCACTATTTTTGATAATTTCTAAGCAACCTGAAATTGACCCGTAATCCGACCTGCTGACCCGAATTGCCAACCCTAAGTTTAGGTGGTCGAATTATGTCTATTACTGTATTCACTCTTTATGAATGCAATGCATGTAGAAGTTATAAAATGCGTATAAACAAGTGTGATTATTCAATATGTTAAAGAGAAATTATAACCCTTTTTAATTTATTAAAATTTAAAAATATTTATAATGTACATGTGTATATTCTAATAGCGTATTCTTTTTTTTTTCTTCTCTTTATCCATTAAGAAATTATTTGCAAGATACAAAGATTGTTGGAGTTGATTGCTCCAAACTTAGGTCCTATCACTTCACCTTAAAAAAAATAGTATTCAGTAAAAATAATTTTAGTTCAACAAAAATAGTTTCAATTCAGTAAAAAATAATTTCAATTCAGTAAAAATAAGGGCCTGTTCTAATAGACTGAAATCAGCTGAACTGAACTGAACAGAACTGAGTTGAGCTGAGCTGAAGTGAAATGAATATTTTATAAGAGAAGGAAATTAGGAGCTGAACTGAACTGAATTAAATTGAACTGAACTGAACTAAACTGAAAATAAACGTATGAGAACATGCCCTAAGTTTAATTTAGTAAAAATAATTTTACTTGAGTAAAATTCAGTACCTTTAAGAAGAAAATATAAAAGAGGATCAGTTATAATAATTCCAGTTCAACAAAAATAATTTAAGTTTAGTAAAATTAATTTTAGTTCAATAAAATTAATTTAAGTTCAGCAAAAATACTTTCAGTTTAGTAAAAGTAATTTCAGTTAAGCAAAAATAAGGTGAAGTGAACGGGGCCTTATTTGTTTTTTTTCTAGTTAATCACTAGTAGAAAAACGTACATTTGCGTCGCCATATTTGCGTCGCTCATTCTAAAGAACGAAGCAAATGTTTATTTTAACCATCCTTTAAAGTTATTTACTTCGCATATTATTCAAGAAGCGATGCAAAAGTCAAGTGTATTTCAGCTTTCTAACATTTGCGTCGCTCTTATTTATTGAAGCGACGCATATAATAATCTTATTTGTGTCACTCATTTATTGAAAAGTGACGCAAATAAGTGAGTGAATAAATTGCGTCACTCTTTTAATAAATGAGCGACGCATATAAAAAATTACAGCATTATACATTTTGTTATTTGCGTCGCATTTTTATAATTAAGTGACACAAATAACTCTTTTGCATTTAGGTTATTTCAGAATTTTTGACCTTAGCTTTTCACCCTACCTTTCACTAAACAAAAAGAAAAAAAACAAGAGTTGCTTCCAGTGAATTTCTATAGCAAAACACCCACAAATTCGATCCTTAAATCCAAAAAATTCGGCCAAAAAACTCCGATTCCCCAGCAAATTCAACATCCAAAATCGCAATCAAGTTCAAGACCCATAATCGGCAGCAAATCCGAGCAATAATTTAGACCAAAAACCCTAAGAAATTCGAACCCATAAACCCCAGAAAAATTGAGCAATTCCGACCGAAAATCCCCTATTTCGAGCAAAAAAATCTACTGAAAACCATAGGAATTCGAACCCTAGAAACCCCAAAAAATTCAATTACAAAATCCTGGCCAAAATATTCGAGCAATGACTGAAATTTTTGACTGGAAAAATCGATTAATTTCGCCCCAAAAAACCCGAGGAAGTTCTAGCAAACTACAGCAACAATAATTGAAGTTCGATTTTTGGCTCGACATTGTTGAATTTGTGAAGTCGATTTCACCTAAGGTAAGATTGCTTCTATTTATGTTCAATCTTTTCTTGGTAGATAGAATGTAGCATTTAACTTGAACAATGACTTAGATTAATTTCAGGTTTAGTGTTGGTTCATTAATTAGAAAATATATGGCAGATTTAGTTGAATATATATAATTTCAGTCATTGAATTTTCATTGAGGCTCATCTCAATTCAAAGCTTTAATATATTCACCTGTACATTTAGTCCGTAGATTTTTGCAGTTGTGGCACTATCAACTGCACCTGCATCTTTGAGTTGCTAGTTTGCAATATACTACAAATAAAACAATACATACCGCATCATAGTCACATTTTAAATGGTGTAAATGTTTAGTAAAAGTCACAATCAGGGTCATAGTATAAGCCATTAGGATGCAGTAATTCAGTTAGATTGCTTGCCTAGTTGAGGCAGAGGCACCTATGCCTCATAACGATTAATTTACTGGAGTTGTCAACTTTGATGGCAATAAAACATTAGCTTTGCAGCTGTTATAAGGTTGTTAATTCATTGGACTGAAAGTTTCACATACTTTAGGCGACAAAAAAGGTACTTCCCATTTGTTGGACCTAGCTAAGGTGACCTTCAATCAGTCATCAAGTTAAAAAACTATAAATCAATATTCCATCCATTAAACAACCACCTTGTTCAACCCTTAATTAAATTTTTTTTTTTTAAAAAACTATCGGACCAATTCTATCAGTTGGGTTGCTCTCACACTTTTCTCATTAATAGAACTAGTCTCACACTTTCCTCAATCATCACAAATAGTATATTTGATAAATACTGCGAAATAAAAGGAGTAAGGAAAAAGGACAAAAAAACTTAACCAAGCTAAAGCAAAAACTTACTTGTGCTGAACCAGCAGTGTCATCAGCAACTTCTCTAATTAATCCAAACTTGGTCAATGTATTCTCACATTGAGCAAGAGCCTACAAATTCAATTTTTTTGATTTAAATTGACGCAAATATCATATCTAAGAAAGACATGGATTAGTATAAGATCTAAATACCTGCGGATGGCTTAACATTGTTTCAGGTCTTCAAGTTTTACACCATGATTGGCTAATAAGCAATGCCGAATAACAACTTTTATTTCACATGGCAGACTAAGTTGAATCAACTATGTTGGTTTAATATATGTAATTTTTTATTGTAGATTCTTAATTATGCGGAAGTGAATTCCACAAGTTGCTCGAGGTTCTGGTTGTGGACAAACGATTAAGGCGGTAGTACGCATACGAGATTGTCTTCACTTGTGGTACATATATCTGAACCATTCTTTGCAATATTAACTTATTTGTTGTGGTTGGTATAATGATTGTGAATTGTATGAGATTTTTAATTGTGATATAATTGATTGGAATTGCAATAATACTTGCATCATTGGCTTAGATACCCGTTCAGGGCTTACTCATTAGGAGTAAGTCTTGAACAGTCCCCGGTTTGGGACTGTTCTTGAATGTTCTATCTCATTTAGGTGATAACTACTTGATTTGTTTTGGGTCTAAGAAGATCATGGCTCACTATTTGCCGATCGTTTTCTGGGTACATATGTAGATAGCCGATTATCTACATTGTGTGCTTGGAGAACTATAGGGAAATGCTGCCGGATTTTCTTTAGAACCAAAATTTACAAGTAGTTATTAGTGAGATAGGACATTCAAGAATGGGTTAGGTTGGAGTGATAAGGACCTTGTTGGATCATGTCGTTGCATTTACATGAGATAAACTTTGAATGTAAATGTTTGATGCCTTACATTCTTGTTTATGGTTAAGGAGCTATATATGTTAGAAAATATACACATTATCTTAAACTTAATTTTGTTATTCAGTGGTTGAAAATGGATCGAAGTTGGATGTATGGTATACGAAATTCTACAAGTTTTTTACGAGGAACTGAAGAGTTTAGCACTGTTGCCTTAAAACACCAAACAGAGAATAAATCAAAGATTATTCTTTGTCCTTGTTGTGACTGTAATAATTCGAGGGGATATCGTGATATAGTTGATATTAAAAATCATCTAATTCGTCGTGGGTTTACAGAAAACTACACAAGGTGGACATGGCATGGTGAGAGCATATATATTGAGGCAAGTTCTAGTTATTGTCCAAGGGAAGATGAGAATCATTGTGATGATGATAATGAACACCAAGGTGAGGATATCGATACAACTGATATTGGTGTTGAAAGTGAGGGTGAAGTGGAGAAGGACAAGATAGATGAAATGATGCATGATGTTGAAGACCATTTCATAGAGTGTCCCCAGACATATGATAGTATTTTGAGAGCTGCAGAAACCCCGTTATATCCTGGTTGTACAAAGTTCACTAAACTTGGTGCTATTATGTAGTTATTCAACTTAAAGGCGAGCAATTGTTGGATCGACAAGGGTTTTACGCAGTTGTTAGAAGTCTTAGTAGAAATGTTTCCCGAAGGGAATGAACTTCCAAACTCCACCTATGAGGCCAAGAAACTTATGTGCCCTTTGGGTATGGAGTATGAGAAGATACATGCTTGTTCCAATGACTGTGTGTTGTATCGAAATGAGTATGCTGATTTGAATGAGTGTCCAAGGTGTGGAGTTTCTCGTTACAAGATGAATGATACTGGTGATTTGTGTAAGAAAGGGTCTCTGGCTAAGGTATTATGGTATCTTCCAATTATATAGAGATTTAGGAGACTCTTCTCGGATGAAAAAATTGCAAAATTATTGAGGTGGCATGCTGATGGGAGGAAGAAAGATGGGTTAATGAGGCATCCTGCTGATTCCCCGCAATGGAGGAACATTGATCGAAAGTTCAAGGACTTTGGTGAAGAAGATCGAAATATTAGGCTTGGTCTTAGTACAGATGGAATGAACCCATTTGGGACACTAAGTACCCAATATAACACTTGGTCGGTTCTTCTAACTATCTACAATTTGCCTCCTTGGTTATGCATGAAGTCTAGATACATTATGTTGTCCCTTCTAATATCTGGGCCTAAACAACCTAGAAATGACATTGATGTGTATCTAGCGCCTCTCATTGAAGATTTGAAATTGTTGTGGAATGAAGGTGTCTAAATTTTTGATGCATATAGTAAAACCAATTTCACTTTACGTGCCATGATTTTTTGTACGATAAATGACTTCCCAGCTTATGGGAATTTTTCAGGGTACACTGTGAAGGGAACAACTCCTTGCCCCATTTGTGAAGATGATTTGGAGGCATTACGCCTAGACAATTGTGGAAAGCATGTATACATGGATAATCGCAGAAATCTTCCTGAAGACCTCCCTTTTCGATTCAATAAGGATGCTTTTAATGGAAAAGTGGAGTTGAGAGAAGCTCGTGGCCCTTTATGTGCAAGTGAGGTTTATCAGCTGGTCAAAGACATTGAGAATGAGTTTGGTAAGCCTTACAAAAGCAAATCAACTGGGGGTTACAAGAAGAAGTCTGAGCTATGGTCTCTTCCATATTGGAGACATTTGGAAGTTAGACATTGTCTAGATGTAATGCATATTGAGAAAAATGTTTGTGATGCCATTCTGGGAACTTTATTAAATATGCCAGGAAATACAAAGGATGGAGTTAAAGTAAGAAAAGACATGGCTGCTATGGGTCGTTCAGAGTTGGCACCCGAATCTCGAGGAAAACGATGGTATCTTCCCCCAGCTTGCTTTACCTTGTCTAAAAAGGAAAAAACTAGCTTATGTGAGTCATTGCATGGTTTAAAGGTCCCGGCTGGATTTTCTTCTAATTTTCGTAGACTTGTGTCAATGTATGACTTGAAATTGGGTGGCATGAAATCTCATGATTGTCATGTCTTGATGCAACAATTATTACCAGTTGCCATTCGAGGAATTTTTCCACCTCAAGTGAGGTATACGATTACAAGATTATGTGTCTTTTTTAACACTATCTGTAGCAAGGTCATTAATCCAAGTATTTTAGATGACTTGCAAGAAGATGTACTTGAGACAATGTGTCGATTTGAAATGTATTTTCCCCCATCTTTTTTTGACGTGATGCCTCATTTGGTTATTCATCTTGTACGTGAAATTAAACTTTGTGGACTAGTGTGTATGAGATACATGTATCCTTTTAAACGAGAAATGGGTGACTTAAAGGGAAAAGTCATGAATCCGGCCAAACCTGAAGCTAGTATTGTACAACGAACAGTTGCTGATAAAGTGGAAGCATGGGTTGCTCAATATCTTGCACGTTCACAGAAAATTGGGTTGCCAAAGTCTCGACACGATGGGAGGCTTGGAGGTCAAGGTACTATTGGCAGGAAAAGGATATCCATGGGCTTTGAAATGAAAATTAAGGCCGAGCTTTTCGTGTTGCAAAATATTAGTGAGGTTCCTCCTTACTTGGACGAGCACATGCTTTTTCTTAAAAATAAATATCCTTCCAAAAGTGATCCTCAGCTGATAAAGGAGCATAATTGTTCATTCGTTACATGGTTCAAGGAACGAGTGATGTCCTAACTATCCACCACACCTAACAATATATCTGACACATTGAGATGGTTGGCATATGGTGCTAAATGTCAAGTCATGTCATATGAGGGATACGACATCAATGGGTATTCTTTTTACACTAGCCAACAAGATGACAAGCAACAATGCAAAACAATGGTGTTAAATTAATAGGTTTGTCATCTGAGTATGTTAGTGCACATGATAAAACACTTGTGGATAAGAAGAAATTTTATTATGGAATCATTGAAGAAATAATAGAGCTGGATTATGTTGATTTCAAGATTCCTCTATTTCGATGTAAGTGGGCTGATAGTAGCCGTGATGTAAAAAAAGATGAACAAGGGAACTTGACCCTTGTAAATCTTGGTCGACGAGGGCATCTAGCTGATCCATTTATATTAGCTTCACAAGCAAAACAAGTTTTTTACATGGCTGACCCAGCTGATTGTAAATGGTCAGTTGTTTTAGAAGGTAAAAGAAGGATACTTGGCATTGAAGATGTGGTGGACGAGGAAGAATATGATGAGCAATTTAATGAGTCACCACCTTCCGTTTGGAGCATCCCTCCAATAGTCGATGATTTTGACACAACGTTGAAACGTAAAGATCATAATGAAGGATTTTATGTTGCAAAAGAGAAGAATGAAGTAGGTATGAATTCTGTGATTTTTTCTTTCCCAATATGTGTTACGAATTGCATAAATTGCTTATTATTGTTATGTGTACAAGTTTATAATTTAAAAATGATATAAATCGATGTCTTAATTTATTTATGGTTTTTTTTTTCCAGGTAAGTAATAATGGAGGATGAGGATATGCATAATCGTTCCATGTCTTCACAAGGTGAGGAAGATGAGCCACACAATCAATCACAATCAGAGCAACAAACAACCGACTCTCAAAAGAAGAAAAAGAAGCTAAGAGGTCCTTCAAATTAAAGGGCATGAAATCCATGCTTGGGGTTCCTAGAGTGCTTGAACGGGTTGAATTGTGTCGACCCATTGGAAAGTGGGCAAAAGCATACAAAACTCATCTTGGTGAAATAAGCCATGCAAAAGTGTCTATATTGTATAAAGATTGGAATCAAGTTCCACAAGGAATAAAAGACACTTTTGTGGGAATATGTTAAGGTAATATTCAATATTAAATGTTAAATGTTATACTATTATATGATCATTTTGACATTATTTGAATATGATGAAAACAATTTATTAAAATATGATGAAATTATTTACTAACTTTTTTTTATTTTTTTAATTTTTTTTGTAGAGAGAGTTTCAAATCGAAGAAGATGAAGACAAGAAAAAAAAGGTCCTACGCACTTGTGATAAAACTTGGAGAGATTTTAAAACAAAATTGGTCAATGGTTGGATCACATGTACCAGGAATATGCCGGAGGACAAAAGAATGCCTATGTACTCTATGATTTCATATCTGAAGATATGTGGAAAACATTTGTGGAGGAGCATAGTACAGATGATTTTAAGGTTTTTGTGTATTAATATCAATGATCATGCAGGTTATTAATACTTTGTTAACGGATTCTTATGTACTAATCTCCATTTATGCTCGTGAAAATAGGAAATCAGTGAGAAGGCAAGACAAAGCCAGTCTTTCAACGAATATCCTCACTATTTAGGAGCTAAATCATATGGTGAAATGAATATTGTATGGCGTAGAAAAGGGTATATTCCCACAACATCTTCAACATCCAGTACTTCATCTTGTTCTTCGGTTGTGTCTAGTTTACCGGATAGGACATATGCTTGGCTTCTAGCAAGATCAATAGAAGATGATAAGGGAAATCCTTATTTGCCGGATGAGAAAACAAGAGAGGTGAAAGAATCCATTGTAAGTATATAATAAGTCTTTATTTCAATTTTGAATATATTTTGTTAAGTTTATGTATTGCAACCAAAGTTTTCTAACTTGAAGTCTTTGTGTAGGATAATTGGAGAAAGCAACAAGCTGATGGAAAATTTGTTCCTAATAGGCATGATGATATCTTATCTCGTGCCCTTGGGAAAAAAGATCGTAATGGTCGTGCAATAGCATTTGGCAGTGGAATTGGCATTATAGCTGTATGGGGATCCGGAGAGAGGCGTAGTGGTCGACGGGGTAGGGAAATCGGAGATGCTGAGCTGGAAGAATTAGAGGCAAGAGTATCCCGGAGGGTACGAGAGGAGACTATGCAGGAGATGGATTCTAAAATGGAATTAATGGTTCAAGAGAAGTTTATGTTATTTGCTAAACAGATTGGTATTCAAATTCCAACTGAATTGATGGAAATGAATAACATAGGCCGGACGACTCAACAAAATCCTAGTAGTTGCCAATCAGTGGGTGATGATCCATTTGCAAACATACAGGTATCCAAAACTTTGTTATTTTATTTTTTTTATCTTTTTTTTTGTAATGATTTATGAATGCGATATACTTTTAACTTTGTAACTCAATTTTCTTTCTTTTTTTTAATAATGATTTTTTTCTATCTTTATAAAAGGAACCAGTTCCATGTCGGCTATCATTGTTGAAAAATGACTCTGAGAAAGTCATTGTCGCTGAAGGTACATATCATCCGGAGTTAATACTTGATCATCATAATAACCTCATTCCAGATCACGTGAGGGTAAGTGTTGATGATTTTTTTGACGAGTTCAAAGAATTCTCAGTTCCAGTTCCTTCTTCAGTCATCAAGAAACTTAAGCATGCTCATGGTACCTTTACCCAATGGTCGAAAGACTTGGTTTCACTCATGCATGACAAGGTAAATTATTTTTATAACAATTTACACAGTTTGCCATACAAAATATAGCAAATTGTTGAATAGATTTGCTTTACTATTGATTAGGAATTCATATCAAATAAGAACGATGATAACAACAAAGCGGCCAAAGAAAACATGCAAGACAAAGTGAAAGTAGTTGAAAGTGGTCACGAAACAAAAGAGTCCAACACCAATCTAAAAAAAGTTTTTCTTATGGATTATGCTTTGGAAAACTTGTCTCATAAGTGTGGGTCTTTGAATAGTTTGTTATCTTCATTACCCGAAGGTGAAACTATTAAGGTAAAGGTTGATTCTTGGACCTTTATTTATGAAGATAGTAAGGACATCATTATCAGACGTGAAGATGTCAATCAACTTCTCACGGGAGCTTGGCTGAATATTTCAATTTTGCAAGTTTTTATGATGTAAGATATTCAAATTTCACTCTTCCCATATATACTTTATTACTATTTATAATGTTATTACATGATATATATGTAGGGCCTTGAGTGACATACTCAATACGGTGGATGTGGCTTCTATTAGATTCATGTGTCCGGAAATGATTTCAGAAACCTATTTGCATTGTGATGTAGATTGTATCCTACTATACATGACACATGTGATGGAAAAACAAAAATCTAAGGAGTTCATCTTATGCCCATACCATGAAAAGTCGTATAAACTTTGAACTTGTATTTATTTGAACTTTGCAAATTGTTGATATTATTTTACTCATTTACAAATGTGTGTCTAATTTATTATGTAGGAACCATTGGGTTCTTTTGGTCTTATGCATGGCTAAGCGTGAAGTCATCATCTTTGATTCTTTGAGGCAGAAGTGAAATTTAGCAATTAAGTTTGCAATGACAACGTAAGTTTAGTTTGTTATTAATGTCATGATTTTATGCGTGTGTAAGGATAATAGATGGTTTTACATATCATGTATAAATATGTTATTTGTTTCAAATGTGTAGTGCTTTTCGAAGTTTCAAGGCATTAAGTGGACAATCTTGGGGAAGTAAATTGACATGGCATTTGGGACAGGTTACCTTAATTTCTTACCCTAACTTTTAGTTTCTTCATAATTTAAGTATAGCAATTTAATTCAACTTATAATATATTACATGTAGTGTCCTCAACAATTGGGTGGACGTGAGTGTGGCTACTACGTCATGCGTTATATGTACGAAATACTTAAACATCATCATAGCAGTGAGGATCTTATTAAGGTATGAGTTGTCAAATATTTCATTTTTGTTTGATAAATACAATTTGATGTTAGCTACAATCTTGAATTAAAACTTTCCTCTTGTATATTTGTTGTGTTGATAGGAGACTCTGCCGAAATTTACATTTGCATTCAATAATACTGCATTTTAATTTCAATTATTGGCGTTAGCATATTACTTTATACCACTAGCAAGGAAAACAGGTACTACAAACATATACAAGCAATTATTATAATTTTAAAAAAAAAATTCACATCATTTGCGTCACTAATTAAACAAACAAGTGACGCACATAAAGCAATTTTGTATTGTCTAGCCAGTCATTTGCGTCACTCCTATATAAACAAGTGACGCAAATAACAAACAAGAAGTTGATCAGACCAGCTATTTGTGTCACTTGTTTATAAAGGAGTGACGCAAATGACTCTTATTTGCGTCGCGCCTAGGAGCGACGCAAATGACTTTTAAATCAGTTGCTTCGCTCATAGAAGCGACACAAATACACTATAAATGAGCGACGCAAATGAGCATTTTTCTACTAGTGAATAAAAGATATTTTGCCCACATACTTTAAGCCATAAAATATTACCCACCCAATTACATTTTCTATTTTGGCCCCCAAATTATCCAGTACAATATTTTGGGCATAAACATCTCTACTTCTTATATTTTTCCTTTACTCTTCTCCCTTAAAGTCCCGTTTATTTCACTTTATTTCCATTGAATTGAAATTATTTTTGCTGAACTTAAATTATTTTTACTGAACTAAATTAATTTTACTGAACTGAAATTATTTTTGTTAAACCGAAATTATTTTTAATGATTCTTATTATATTTATTCTTTAATTTAGGTCTTGTTACCTTCACCTTAAAAAAATTATATTATGTAAAAAATAATTTTAGTTCTGCAAAAATAAGTTCAGTTCAGTAAAATTAAGTTCAGTTCGGTAAAAATAATTTCAATTTAGTAAAAATAAGTTCAGTTCAGTAAAATTCAATTTTCTTAA